CCCCCCCCCCCCCAAATTACATACATCATCTCTTTAGAGGGTCTCTCTCTTTCTCTTCTAACTCAACACATAAATACATTTCTGCTCTAATCTATAGCAGTAGCTTGGAGTAGAATAAATGACATAAAATGATTTTTAAGAAAAAAGTTACATACCCTTTTCTTCTTTCCTTTTGGTCTTCTTGGCAGAGGAATCTTTTAAAATGCTCCAACTCACTGGGTGAGTTTGGGCAGAAGGAGAAGAGAGGAGGTGCTGGAGGGAGGTTCTTTACAAATGAACCTTTGTCTGCCTTGTCTCCCGCCTGGGATTGACAGCCTTGCTGCTCCAGCCAAGGCTCTCGGGGAGGGGGGAGTCTGGGCTGCAAGGCCTGCCTCCCTCGGGCTCTTACACACCAGGCGAAGATGAACTAAACAGCTTCTTTACAGAGGGAAATAACGAGTCTATACAGGAACCTCAGGGAGGCAGACTTGGAGCAATAAAATATAAAACCCAAGGGATTTAAAAGGAACACAGAGAGAGTGATTTTTACCTTCAGAGAAGTGTGTGTGAGAGACAGAGACAGACAGAGAGACAGAGCAAGGGAGAGAGGGAGGGGGAGGGAGATGGGGGGGAGAAATGGCTAATATGATTTAAGAAAATAGCTGAGCACCTCTTCCTCTTTCATAGTGTCTTTGTGTTTTGTCACCAAGTTTTCCTCACCATCTGGATCCCTTGTTATGACATTTTGGTTGAAGACATACTCCAACCCTCATTGCCAGTCAATGGAAAGCAAAAAATATAATGACTAAAAAAGAAATCTATTCTGTGTATCAGAAATAAAGGCATAAAAGGAATCCCACTCTGCGTTGGGCAAACTGTCCTGGAGTTGTAGCATCTGTTAACCACCCTTCAGATGTTGGTGTTTTTAAAAAAATTCGATTTGGAATAGTGTTGCTGGAGTTGGAAATATTATAATAAAATAGGAATTATCTAGACAGAAAGTGGAGGGAAGGTCATTCTAGGTTGACCTTCAAAGGCTTGAAGGTGAAGGAGAGGGTAACAAGTTTGGGGATTGTAGGTAGTTTAGTGTTCTGGAACTAGCGATGGTGGAAGATAAGATTAGAGGGACAGAGGGACAAGTTGATGAAGTGCCTTATACACTATGCTAAAAATGGTGGATTTTACCCTGCAGGTGAATGGAAAGATGATGAATATTAAAAAGGTTGAACCCCTGACCACAGTGGGAAGGGACGGCATGGGAGGAAAGAGACCAGCGACGGGGAGAAGAGGAGCTCCGGCAGCATCCAGGAGAGGGCAGGAAGCACAACCGAGAGGACCTGGTGACCAGGCAGGTTTTCATGTTCAGGGTAGAAGTAGTTGAGAGAAGGGTAAGAGACTATTAAATTTCAAAAGTTTGGACCCTTGGATGAGTGATGCTGTTCATTATCTTGGAGAGAAAAAAATACAAGAGAGCATTTTGGACTGGAACAGGAATGGGGAGATGGAAATGGGTTAGTGAGTGAATGTTGAATTTAAGGAGACCTAGATGCAAGTGGGAATGTTTAGTAGGCACTTGGAGCTCAGAAAGCAGACTTGATTAAATGGACTCGGAGCTCAGAAAAAAATATGCGCTAGAGTGTTGGAATTAATCAACTGAATGTCAACTAAATAATTAATCAAGTTATTCAACTACATGATAGTGGAAGCGATGGCTGTACCCCTTAGAAGTTACTGAGCACTTACTGGGCTCTGAGTTCATTTACTCTTCTTGATGACCCTGTGAAGTAGATACAATTAGTCCCACTTTCTAAATAGGAAACCTTAGAGATGTTAGGTGGCCGGCCAGCGATCTCACACACACACAGCCAGAAAGCGGCCCGCCCCTGGGAAGTGGTTCCAGTGTCTGGGCTCTTCGCCACTGTGTCCCTTAGAACGGCTCCTAGAGTGAGAAGAGAATAGCACTAAGATCAGAACCTGAGAAAGCACTGGCGTTTAAGGGGTGAGTAGAGAGCAAGAGGTAGTTGGACAATGAGGGGAGTATTGTCATGGGAGGCAAAGGAAGAGCATTTCAGGGAGGACGGAGGTGAGTGGAAGGCCCCTGGTGACAGCGGTTTTATGGAAGCCATACATGCACAGCCCAATATGGAGGTATGTAGAGAAATGGGAGGACCAGCAAAACTAGAAGCAATCACCAGCCATGAGAGAGACTGAGTCTCTGGTCTCCATTCTACTGGAGCTGGAAAAAGTGGCATGGAATTCAAGAAAAGAGATGAGAGGCATGCATGCAACTGACTCCACATTTCCTTTGCATACTTATAAATAACTCTCCTGTGATATTAAATAAAGATTATGCCACCGATAGGGGTAATTTATTTTTATGACTTAAATGTGTAGAAATATGTGAATATGAGGAGGAAAATGGAGATTATTCAGCCTTCGCTCCGTCTTAAGAGCTATCCATTTTGTTTACTCCACATGCATCTAGGCAGGAAGTATGGTGCCGACACAAACTGACTTTCCTGTAGATGGATTTTCTCTTTTCCTCTTGTTTTCCTCTTATTTCCCTGTGTGTCTAATTCTCTTTTGTCTCCTTTATTACACTGCTCATTTTGTTTCCTGTATTTAGCCCATAGCTATTCAAAATAGTGGATTCATTTTTATATCCAGCAGTATTCAGATCCATACGGTAACATGCCTGGCCCTGCGTTTCTTGCATGCCTGCTTCAAGTGGTACGCAGCTCCTTGGTAACTACCTAGTGCCTCTGGAGCATGTTCCTAGTTGCTTAGGAAAAATCGTCCCTAAAAAGCACATTTGGATCTTGGCTTCCTAGTCTCTTGTGTGTCAAACATTTACTTCTTACTAGTTGGACTTGCCATCATTTCAAGGGAGGATCACTGAGCATCGTTAAACTGAAAATGCCCACCGCTACTCATCCCGATGTCTGTTGCACAGAATTGCCCATTTGACAAGCGGTTGAATTGCAAACCAAGGCCTTCGACTGCAGAGGCTGACCTTGTGACTTTCAATTTGGGGCTCAAATCTGAAGCCACTGTTTGTTTTCTTGTATGTAGAAACTTAGGCATTTGGGGTGTTTTTGTTTTCTCTCCTGATGGCCTATTACTCAGACCTCTTGTTGAACCCTGGTTTATGTTGCTCTGGAGGCCACCTGTCTCTTTGAGATAGCCTCTGAAGCCTCCCAAAGTAAACCTTTTCTATGAGATAGGTAAGACCATTCAGACATACTGTCCAGATTTCTAGAAAACATGTCCTGCCATATTTTTATGTGATACTCTCTGTATATATGTATGCGTTTTATATATATACGTTATCATTCTTATGTCTCATCAGGTTTGTTACAAATAGCAAATCCCCATAAATTGGTGACAAAGTCAGTCCATGAGTAGAGAAACATTTGATCTAGAGCTTAAGCAATTATGTTAAAAGTATTGGTATTAAATGTGAAAAGTGAGCTAATTCGTTTTTACTAAAAATCAAACAAAACAATAGCGACATTAAAGTCCTTCCAATCAGATGACGCCGCAGAAGACGTTTTAGATATAAATAATTTTAGACATCTGACATCTTAAGTTTGTGAGGGGAAAAAAAAGGGAATACATAAATTCTTCCCCTGATTTCCACCTGGGAGCTCATGCGTATGACCTGATTTAGAATCCACTGCTCCTGCGTTTCATAATTGACCTCTTTCTCGCATTTCCCTCAGGCTTAAATCCTTCTGGAGTCACTGAGAGTGGCAGTGTGGGGAGAAGCAGCAGCGGGTTTCCACCTTCACAGTTCCTCCCAGGAGAGAGGTAGGACCTGTTTTATGTGAGTATCCTTGACAAAAGGAGTTTCTAATAACAACACTAATGGAAAACTAATTCACAGTATGTTTGTTGAAATAATAATGAGCTACAGACGAAATTACCTTTTAAAATTCCTTTAAAATAAGTTAAAAAGAAACAATTAACCTGTTTTATTAACTTAATTATTTTTGAACTCAGTAAAAGAGTATTCCTCTTTATTAAAACTATTTAAAGTTTCCCTTAAGATTTCCTCTGAACTTGGAAACTTTGTGCTGAGAATGGGCTTTGCAGCTGGGTTGAACAAGATAACCTCTATTACCCAAACTTAGCTTTCTACCACTGGAGTGAAACTTAGGAAAACACACTCCATTGAGGAGTCTCAAGTGAGGCCCTTGAGGAGAGCAGAATTCCCAAGGAGCTGTTGTGTAAGATATTGAGCTGATGCCAGGACAACTACCAGATGAGAACTACTTTCTACAGGCATTTGTTTTGAATGGAGTTTCAAAAGTATGGTGTACTTGGAAACTGTTGGATTTCCAGACAGGAAGCCTTGGCTCTAATGAGGATTACAGGGGAGTCTTCTTTCTCAGAAACTGTTAGTCAGAACAGCAAACACAGACCTCTTTTACTTGGGCCTAGAGAATATGACGTCCACTGGGAGTGCTGGACTTTTTCACAGCATTTATACATAGAGCTTGTGAGCACCGGAATAATATGATCTTTAAATATGATAGAAATAAAGTCAGTAAAGTGAATATCAGGAGTGAAGTGTGTTAAGGAGAGGAACTTAAAAATAACCCCTATAAGTTTCCTGGAAGTCTAAAAGGGGCATTGGTCTAACAGTAAATAGAATCATAGCCCAGATCTCAACAATAATTGTGTGGTTTGCTGGAAAAAACCCACTTATCAAACCTAGAAAGATCAAAAGAGCTATTAAGTGTGCCAATGTGTGTTCTTTTGTAGATTCTAAGTTATTGCCCTAAACTTCCCAAAATTTTTTCACAGGTACAAGCATCTGGTTGGTTGGTAATGATAACAATAATAGTATTGATACTAGTAATAATAATCCCATTGCCAAGTGTGCTAAACACTTTAGAAATGTTGGCTTATTTAATGCAAGCAGCATTCTTTTATGAGGTAATCTTTCAGATGAGGGAAACGAGGCTCAAAAAGATTAGGCAACTTGGCCAAAACTGTGGAGCTGAAACTAGAAAGCAAAATAAAACTATTCTTTATTGCCCCAATAAATAGTAAAAGTGGTAATGTGAGAGGAGAGAATCTAAAATAACAGTACTGTTCAAGAAGGTCATAGCCCATAATTTGAGTGTAAATGAACCATATATATTCTCTGTGTCTCTTAGAGTCATCACTCTCTTAATGTGTCTCCTCTATCTATTTTCTGTTAATGCTTGGCTTAAAACAATTTTCCCTGGACACTTATAAACTTGAATCAGCTAAATAGAGTTTCCTACAAAGTCAGATATGGAAAATTGCCAGAATGTCAGTCATTTGGATAGAGTTTCCAAGTGATTATAATTATTATTATAA